GGTTGGCTAATAATGAAACAAGTTTTTTGTTTACTCTTGTGCATTCCAACAGTGGGCTTCTCATTCAGCTGAGGTAAAAGTAGCAGTAGTCTGATTTCTTAAATATTTCTAAAATGCATGACTGTCTAGAAGGACAGACTGGAATCTCTGGTACTTCCCAGGTTTAAATATGGGCTTGTGACACAAATGCACTCTCTAAAGGTGAATTGTAGGGAAAACAGAGGGTCCAAGTGGATCTTATTTCATAACTACTTAAAGACCATATCTGAAATTCTAATAATAATGCTATTTGATTAAAACCAGAAAAAAATTAGGAAAACACATCACGTACATCCAAGACCCTGCTCTACCAGATTAAAAAAAGTACTTGAAATTTGGAGATAATACCTTTAATCTTGTAGAAAAAGGATCATTTGACCCTGCTCTTAGCTTCTTTTCAGGACTTTTAAAGCCTTATTCAAGAAAAAAAAAAATCTCTTAAGTACCCCCTACACCATCTTCACTAAATATACAGAATTTCTGTAGAGAGTCAGGCTATTTGTAGATCCTTTAAATATCAGGAACATGACTATAAAGTTTGGCATAAATTTAATATAATTTTTTCTCCTGTTGCCAGGAATTATTGTACACCAGGAGTCTGTCTGTGCTACCTTTGGAAGTGGTTTAAGCAGTGCATGCATTGTAGATGTGGGAGATCAGAAGACAAGTGTTTGCTGTGTAGAAGATGGTGTTTCCCATCGCAATACCAGGTATCTTGGAGTGTGCAGAATTATTATAATCATGGATTTATTTGCTTACCAAAGATTAACTTCTAAAAGGAGACAAAATTTATGTAAGTATAGAGGTTGCTCTGAGGCATTAACAGAGCAACTGTTACATTTAACTGTTACAATATGAACCTTAAAGAATTACCTTTAGAGGAAGAAAACAGAATTGATCAGAACTAATATTGTGTTCTGCAAACTCCATGGAAGTCATGATTCCAGCATGTCTATAATCTTCCTAGCATTCCTCTCCCTATTGCTGCAGTCAGCCAGTATTTCAGCAACTACATAAAAAGCTCTTTTTCTTCTCTGTGCTTTAGGCTGTGCCTTGCATATGGAGGATCTGATGTGTCAAGGTGTTTTTATTGGCTTATGCAACGAGCAGGATTCCCATATAGAGACTGCCAGTTAACCAATAAGTTGGACTGCCTGCTGCTTCAGCACCTAAAGGAGACGTTCTGTCATCTGGATCAGGTGAGAAGGGGAAAGTGGTGCCTTATCCAAGTAATTCTTTTTTCTTTTACAGAATGTTACTCTGGGGAGGCTTTTTGTGAGTCCAAGTTAATTGTAAATATTTTACTCAGGAGAATACTGGCAAAAGCTGTAGAAGCTTTAGACTTGAAATGTTTGTAACTTGGTTTATTTTTCCTCTCATTGAAAGGAATCCCAACTCTTAGAAAGTTCTTTGTTCTTACTACTGAAAGAAGCTGATAATTATTGCATACTTGCTGATTTTCAACTTCAGTACTGTAGCATCTGCCAGCAGGTCTCTTCTTCCTGCAGAACTCTCACTCTAGAGGCTTAGGCATGTAGAAAGCTGTCCGGCACATCATACTAAATGGAAAAGCCTTTTAAAAACTCAAGAATAGGTAAATAAAGTCCATAGTTAGAAGAGAGTTTTGTTACTTTTTGCTGTTTTCTGTAGTTAAATAGATTGCACAGCTTGATAAATATAAAATATACCTTTTTTTTTGTTTCTTACCTTAGGATATTTCTGGATTACAAGATCACGAGTTCCAAATTCGGCATCCAGATTCTCCAGCTTTATTGTACCAGTTCCGATTAGGGGATGAAAAATTACAGGTGATTTTTAAATTAAATTACGAGTATAATGAGCATTCAGACTCAAAACCTCAATTTGTATCAGTCCAGTGCTACTAAACCCATGTGACTTATGGATTGTTCTTAAACTATGTTTGTAGATAAAATTAATTCCTGTATGGATGAGTGGGCCTAATGCAGCACTGGTGGATGCACAAGACTTTCTAAGTAGCTTTAGTCACAATGGTTGTTGTTTCATCTAAATATGATAATTATCCTTCAAGTACAAAGCATTAATGTTAATTTTGCGAGTTTTTCAGCTCACCATTGAATTTTCTAATTTTGTAATAAACAACATTTGAGTACCAAATTTTGAATTGTGAGAAAAATAGAACACAACTTTTCTTTTTTATCCAGTAAATACCAAAAGAGGAATACTGTAGTAAAACCATGCCAAATCTTTCCTCAGGCACCCATGGCTCTGTTTTATCCAGCAACTTTTGGAATTGTTGGACAAAAAATGACAATTTTGCAGCACAGGTCACAAGGTGATCCTGAGGATCCTCATGATGAACATTATCTGCTGGCCACACAAAGTAAGCAGGAGCAGGTGTGTGATTGCTGGTTTTATTTTTCATTAACTATCATTTAATCAGGGACTAAAATGAGGATTCATTAGCTCATGTCAGAAACCAGTTTGTTACCTCGGTCAGAAGTATTAAATAATAAGTTTAAAGCAAGCAGTTACAGATACCTAAACAATTCTTTAATTAGAATTGTGCATTTTTAAAGTCTAAGAAAGGATCCCTCTATTATGGTATTGAGCAATCTGATGGAGTTCAAAATAAGCCCTTACTTAGAACATGAGGATTAAAATGAAAATTAGATGAGGCAATAATGCAAGGCTTAACCTTGCTGTGCAAAAAAGTGAAGGGAAGTACAACAGTGTTTAGTTAAGTCTTTGTACTGTTCTGTAACCTGTGACCTTTTTGCATCTTTGTTTTCTCATTTTTAAGTCTGCAAAAGCTACAGCTGACAGAAAATCTATGTCAAAGCCTGGTGCATTTGAGGGAGAATTGAGAGGCCAATCCTCAGACCTTTCAGAGAGGATCTACCCACAAGAAGTGGAGCTGGGCTCTTCCCAGAGTGACTGTATGATGCCTGGCAATGATTCAGAGGAACCTTTAACTGCACACATGTCCAGGAAAACTGCTATTTCTCAGTTTGAAGGCAAAGCCTTGGGCCTGGACAAAGCCATCCTTCATAGTATTGACTGCTGTGGTAAGAATTACATTTGTACAACTCTGTGAAATAGACCTCAGGGTGGATTTATGTAACTCCTCTATTTCACCAAAGAAAGATGTGTCCCTAGGTTTTATCACCTGGAGAGTAGCTACACTGTTTCTTATGCTTGCATCTTTGTTGATGTTTCTTGTGCTGTGTGTCCAAGGAATAGAAGAGGAATTTTAAAAGCAAACATCAGTTTCTATCTGGTTTGACCTGCACTAAATTAATTGTAATACAGACCATATTAACTTTAAAAAACAGATTTCTATATATTCATTCATTCCAGCATCTGATGATACAAAAAAGAAGATGTACAGCTCCATCTTAGTAGTGGGAGGAGGCCTTATGTTTCATAAAGCTCAAGAGTTTCTTCAACACCGAATTCTCAACAAAATGCCACCTTCTTTCAGAAGAGTCGTAGAAAATGTTGAAGTCATCACAAGGCCTAAGGTAACTGTTAACTAAGTAGTTAGTAAACTATGATTGGTTGAAATCTTCAAAAGGTTAAAAGAAAAAAATTCTTTCAAAATCCCAGAGTAGTTGAATATCTGAGATTTAAGGGAGCTTTCAGCCTATAACATAGCACTGGCTGGTTAGAGACAGGGAGTTAGAGGCATAGCAAAAGTGTGACTGGTACAGATCATTGAGGTGTTAATTAGCTCAAGGCCCCATTCTTAAAGAAGCAGTTAGTACTGGCCCATGAAGGTAACCTGTCTCCTCAGCAAGAAATTGTGATATTTTTTTTTTTGGTACTTTAAAGATAATAGAAAAACAGGCATTGAGATTAATTTTCATGTGGCATTAATCAGGCAAAATTTGTAAGTATACTTCCATCCATTTCACCCACTCATCCAGAAGTTTGGGTGAAATACTGAAGGCAAGATTTTCATGTGCTTAGAAAGCATCTTAAAACAAAAACTGACTTCTCAAAGCATCTTGAATATCAATTAAATATTTTTGTCTCACTACTTTTTCCTGGATAATACTGAAAAACTTTTTTCTTCCCCTACCTCGCCAGATTCTAACTGGTGAATAGTGTTGGAAAAATAGGATACAGCTGTGGAGAACGATACAAAATGAGACCAATGACTGTGTGCAATCTGTGTTTTGAATTTAGGATATGGATCCACGTTTAATTGCCTGGAAAGGAGGGGCAGTTTTGGCCTGTCTGGACACAACTCAGGAGCTGTGGATATACCAGAGGGAGTGGCAGCGCTTTGGTGTCAGGATGTTACGGGAGCGAGCTGCCTTTGTGTGGTAATGCAGGTGCTTACAGAGGAGCCTGTAGGAACTTCACTGAAGATTCCATTCCCCTAATGCCCTTTTTTCCTGACCTTCTGCTGATACATATTTTTTGTATTTTATTAATATTAGCCTCAACTGAAATTTTTCTGGAACTGTTGTAAAAAACAAACTTATAGAATTCATTTGACTTCAGCTACCCTTTGTCTCTTAAATTGTATGCATTGAATTCTGCATACAGAGTACTACTGTCATCTCTAGAGTAACTATATTTATATTATACAGCTAATGTATATTAAAAGTGCACAGTGTAGGAACTTAAAGTATGAAATGTTATGTGACAGTTGTTAAGCCAATATTCATTCCAGAAATATGTACACAGAAGCAACAGCTGAAGGGTTTAATGTAATATTCTGATTGCTACTCTAATGTTACCAGGAGATGAAGATGTTATATAAGTGATCATTAGGGTAAAAGTGAAATGAAGAACTAAAACTACAGTCACTGTTTGTATTTTACTTATGTAATAAATTATTTTATTTAGTGGAAAGACAAAGGATTTGGAAGTTGAGTATTTTTTCTTTGCCCTGCACTTTTCATCAAAGCCTCTTAATTTTTCATTATCCATTGTAGAGTCCGCTTTACAAAAATCAATATAATACACCCAAAAAGACCTGCAATTTTATACAGCCAGCACATCTTCCAGTTCATTCCACCTGAGGGCAGTGAGACTGCACTCCTCAGCCACCCTCCAACACCAACCAAACTTGGTTTGGTTGGGCAACTGCCTTAAAAACAACCCAACTGGTTTGAACTGAAATACTGAAGCTGGAGGTTCCTAAGCAAACTTGAGAGCATTCCTATTGCAATAATACCTAAAAAGCAGTCTCTTTTACATGAACTTATCTAAAAAGGATGCTTGCAGCAAAACTATAGAATACAAAAGCTCAAGAAGGTGAGAACTCAGCTCTGAGATGGCACAAGCTGCCCCAGCAATGAGACACAGTCACAAGTAGAGCAGCAAGGAGAAAACACATCCTCCAACTGCACTGATTGTGAGGAGCTCTAAAAGAAAAAAAACATTTTGAAACAAGTCTGTAAAAGCTATTGTCAGTTATCATAATATGGTATATATGCACTTGTTTATGTGTATTTTAATAGAATTTCGAGAAAATGCACACAGATTTACTAAAATTATCATTTCCAATGGTCATACAATGAAAGTTTGCTAAAAAGCAATGCAAAATGATTCATCATTAATACTGGAGTTGTTGATTACTTTACTTAAAAGGAAACAAGGCATATCACTCTGAGTCTGCTCCCTGCCAGTTCCTCCCATGTTACTGGAATGTATCTCCCCCTGCAACCTGAAGTCTCATCAGTCATCATCTCCTCTCCTCTCTTCCTTTTTGTTTAGAGTTTTGCCCTGGGCAAAAGCTACAAAATAACGAATTCCTGAAGTGCAGGATTTTATCTAGTAAGGATAAAACTTGAGGAAGGTGAAAGGCAAAATTTGCCAGTGCCTGTATATGTAAAGTCACCTAATACCAAAATCATCTGCATCTTGACAGGATTTTAACATTCAAACATCTGTATAGCTAAAATATTTATTTTTCCCAGATTTTTGCAAACATACAGGGGAAAATCTGCTGAATATACCTGATAAATATTGCAACAGGAAACTGAGTCGTTTCAGCTTAGTTTGCAGTAAGTACTGACTTGAGAATGATAAATATTCAAGTATCCATGAATTAAAAACCAGCAAATTCACCTGCACAGAATTCTCAAATTTTCTGTTCAAAGGCCATGTGTATGATTCAGTTGGTAAGAAAGGGATGAGATAGCATCACCAATTTCTAGTTGGCAAACCCATGAAATACTGGACACCTGCAGGAGCCCTTACAATTAAGTGGAAACTCCTCTATTTTTTCACATTCCAAACAATGAACTTAGAATTTTGTGCTCTACATTTACCCCTACTTAACTGCTGAAATGGCTGTGTTACTTCATGAAACTTCTATACTCTTACACATATTTAGTGCATGTTTTCTGTAGATTTATTTGCTTACCAAATAACAGCATTCAAATTGTACAAAATTTTTTGAACACTGCGAACACGTATCAGTTTGGTTCCAAACAATCACTGCAAAGATTAAAAACCACTAATATCAAGTACACATTTACTCATAATTCCTCAGGAAACAATTACTCTTTTCCATTTCAGTGATACAACCAAACCCAAAAGTCGTCATTGCTGAGGTAATGAATCAGTCAACACAGGCAGGCCCGGCAGAACAGCGCAGCGCGTTTGCTGCTCACTTCAAACCAAGGCTTTCTCCTGGGAGCACGCATTGCACAGGTAAGGATCGCAATTAAAGCCTTGAACTGCAAGCTCCAGCTCAGCTTTCACGGGCTGCTTTGGAGCGCTGCACCCAGCGCTCATCCACACAGAGATACCTCCTGTCAGTGCCGGGACGGAGCGAGAACACCTGGGGTTTCATCCCAGCCGCGATGCAGCTCCCAGTGCTCCCACTGGAAAGCAGCCGAGGGTGGGGGAAACGCTTTTTCCGCGCCGCCAAGAGCGGGGAAAAAAGTTACAGCGCTCCGGGACGAGCGGGGTGGGGTCGCCTCAGCGCGGGGCTGGCTTTGCGCCCCGGAGCTCCGCGGCGGAGCTGGCAGCCCTGGCCCGGGGGAACCTGGCATTCCTGTCCCGGTGGCACTGGCGGAGCTGGCAGCCCTGGCCCGGGGGAACCTGGCATTCCTGTCCCGGTGGCACTGGCGGAGCTGGCAGCCCTGGCCCGGGGGAACCTGGCATTCCTGTCCCAGTGGCACTGGCGGAGCCTGGGGGAACCTGGCATTCCTGTCCCGGTGGCACTGGCGGAGCTGGCAGCCCTGGCCCGGCGGGCTGCAGCACAGCCGCCCGGGGGCTCCGGCGGGATGGACGAGGCCGAGGATTTCGCCCGCATCCCCTCTGGGCGCTTTCCGCTCCGGCACAGCCCGCACAGCGGCCAAAGGGTGCGTTCCGGGGGGAAGTCCCAGCCGCGCCCCTGCCCTGCCTCCCCGCGGGCTCCCCCCGACAGCCCAGCCCGCACTCGCTCTCCCGCCGGGGCCCCGCGCTCCCAGGGACCACCCCGCGCTCCGCCCGCCGGGCTGGGCTGGGCTGCGAGGGTCGGCGGCGGTCCCCACACAGGAGCGGCCTCCCCGGCCTGGGCTGAGACAGACGCGGCCTGTGGCTGCCCCGTTCTGCGGACGGGACCGGGACAGAACCATCTCCCTCCTGCTCGGGCGGCCGGGCGGGAGCGGCCGCGGTCCCGGTCCGGTCCGGGAGCCCTCAGAGCGGGGCCGCGGGCAGCCCCGGACCCGCCGGAGCTCACAGCCACGCTTGTGCACAGAGGAGGAAGCGAGGTAAGTGGGCTTGAGCACTTTCAATACTGGAAACTCACTACAAAGTATTTGAAAGTGAATGAACTTTCTCCCTAGCAGGAATGAAGGGAAAGTTAATCCTAAACGTTCTGCAGCAGATACATTTAAACCTGTTACACAGCCCGCAACAGGGAAAAACAAACAAAAAACAGGATCTGCTTAGCTTGAGGAGCTCTTCCTCCTGCCCTTTACAGTCAGGCCTGACAGCTTTTGGTGGTAACATGAAGGGTTAACGTCCTGACAAAGCCCCACTGCTCTGCTACATTATGTGCTGTCTGTGGACATCTCTGGGAGAGGGTCATGTTTTCCATCTGCCAAAGAGAATATTCTTGTTTCTCCTCTGTCAACAGAACAGTGTTTCAGGCACAGTGACTCTCTCCTTTTTGTTTTAGGATCAGTTTAGAAGAAATGGAGTAGGATAATGCTCATGCAGAGAGACCACTGAAAGAAGGGAGTGGATGTGAATCAATATGGCAAAAAGAAATGTCCATTGAAACTAGTATTTTACTCCATTGAAATTAGTGTTTTAATCCATTCTATCAAAACATGTGTGCTAATTTATATTAAATCAGACTGACTTGCTTTTTGACCTGTGCACTTCAGAACTCAAAAGCACCAAGGTTTGTGAATCATCTACACACTGACTGTTAAAGTCACTGGACTGTTACAGTCAGGACACTGCTGACTGACTTCACTCCCAGCTCTCTTTGCAAGACAAAAATTCTCTCAGGTGTTATTCTACCATCCCTGTTCCATTTGAAGTAAAATAACAACAAAATACAAAGAAAACCGCTGCAACATTTAGAAGAGTTGGCCATAAAACTATTGTTCCCTACTGGGACAGAGTATCTTTCCCAGATTATCAGGACCCAGGCCCGTATTCTACCAACCCCCCTCACCAATTTAGTGCTCCTGGATCAACAGAGCTGCAGCTTAAACACAGGTACTGTAAAACCATAACCCTCTTCCTCACAACCAAAACAAGTAAAAACCTCTGACCTTGCATCCTCTGCTGCATCACAGTCAATAAACCTTCAAGAAAGAATCCTTTAATAGAGTACACCTGCAAAAAAAAAAAAAAAAAACCTGATACGTCCCCAGCTTCAGCTGGGAACAATTTCAAATTATCCATGTGAGGAGAATCACCTGTGTGAACTTTAGGCTCAGACATATCCCAGCATCTTTTTTTTTTTTTTCTTTACAGAACAAATTGTTATCCATGGCTGGTTGTTGATTCAGACGTTTTGGGGTTTGTACAGCCTCAAACAAGTTTATTACAAGTTTTCTTTCCAGAGAGTTATGCTTCTTCCCACCTGTTTCCCAAGATTAAAGGAACATACTTTTGCAAATGAATGTGTATAAAATTGTAATTGTACATGGAAAATTTTTGAAATTTAGCAGCAATTTACACCTAATTTTGTTACAGAGGATTCAACATATTTCAGGAGAATGCGTGCTTAGCTCAGCTGGGCAGTGCTGGAAGAGATAAGTGCAATGGACTCTGGATAAGTTGCTGTCTCTAGAATACACAACAGCTTAGACAGAAGTCATGGGCCAGAGAGAAATATTATTTACTTCCGAGGACACCCCACTTCACTAATTTTTCAGACCAAAAGGGATGTTTTCAGGAGGAGGGAGCAGGAAAAACGTTTCAGGGTGGACAGCAGGATCAGTGCCTGTAACACACAGAAAATCTGGTACTGAGTCCCTGTGTCTGAACCAATGCAACACAGAGCTAAACCTGTGGTACTTCCAAGGCTCACAGGCCTCTCTGAAAGTAAAAAGCTTGCCATTCTTACTCAGCCTAAGGATCTGGTGGCATTAGATTGTAACTGTACTTGGAGTATTTTTGCAGGATCTGGGTTTAGTAGCAAGGTAGAAAGGCAGAGATGAACAGATCTTGCCTTTCCCTGTGTTAGGAGGGAAAGGAGACACACCTGCAAATCCAGCAGTTTTCACCTTAGGGATAGCTGGAAATGAGTTTGTAACACGTTTGTTTTTTGGAGACACTCTCTGGCAGAATGTGCAGTGAGCATACTCATAATTTCCATAGTGTATTGCCTTGTGTGATATCACTGTCACAGACTCACAGTTACGGTTTTGAAATTGTTGTTGTGCTTAAATTCTTGCCTATTAGAGGTGGATAGAGAGAGACTACAAGGAATGCAAAAGTTCCTGCCTCTTCTGGGTTTGGCAAATACTTGAAAATGTTCATCTGTCTCAGGAACCAGAAGCAAATCAAACTCAGAGTATATATAATATAGGATAGTACATTTGACTGCTGTATAGACTGCATTAAAAGAATAATTAGACAGTAAATGTTTACCTGTTTGTTGCCATTGTTAACATTTTGGGTACTGCAAATGGATAAAGTATACCATTGTCACCTGAAAAAGACTGACATATTAGAGGTAGTAATGGTTACATCTTAATTAGTATCTTTGGGTTTTTTCCTAGGATAAACCACTGGATTTTTGTCAGAAATTCTGCAAGAGTGACCATCAGTAAAGATGTCATATTTAATGAAAGGATTTAAATGTCACAGTCCTGTGATGTGCAAGGTAGCAGGAAGCCTGTTTAAAGCACACACATTAAAGAACACGTTTGGCATCCATGAACAATTCAAAATTTCACGTGCATCGTCGCGACTGAGCTCCGAAAAGACAAACTCTTACAATTACATCATTGTAGGAGCTGGATCAGCAGGCTGTGTGCTGGCCAACAGGCTGACAGAAGACCCGCACAGCACTGTGCTGCTTTTGGAAGCAGGCCCTAAGGACACCCTGCTAGGCAGTATAAGGTTGATGTGGAAGATCCACATGCCTGCTGCCTTAACGTACAACCTGTGCGATAAGAAATACAACTGGTACTACCACACCACTCCGCAGAGGCACATGGACAGCCGAGTGATGTACTGGCCCCGGGGCAGGGTCTGGGGCGGCTCCTCCTCGCTCAATGCCATGGTCTACATCCGCGGCCACGCCGAGGATTACAACCGCTGGAGCAGAGAGGGGGCTCTAGGCTGGGACTACGAGCACTGCCTGCCTTATTTTAAGAAGGCACAGACACACGAACTGGGGCCGGATCAGTACAGAGGTGGGAATGGCCCCCTGTACGTGTCAAGAGGGAAAACAAACCATCCTCTCCATCAGGCATTCCTGGAGGCAGCCCAGCAGGCCGGGTATCCCTTCACGGATGACATGAATGGCTACCAGCAGGAAGGCTTTGGCTGGATGGACATGACTATACACCAAGGTAAACCATGAAGGGGTCCTCAAGTAATTTCTATTTCTGACCCAGAAATAATGTTGAAATATGGACATATAATCTGCACTGAATGCCATTTGAGTGTTTAGGTTACTGCCCAGCTATGGCACTCTGTATTTACACCCTAATAATTTCTCAGCAGCTTGCTATCAGTGTACTGTGTACTTCATTGCAAGCTACATTGGTAGGAAAGTCCTGATTCACAGTTAAATTATGTCATTGTGAAATATGTTAAAATAATATCTTTAATTATCATATCAAATCACATTTGCTGTGAACTCTATAAACTCTATGAAGACTTTCCCTCTGTAGGCATCCTGGTGGTTATTGGCCAAAATCTGAAGCATACTGAGCATGACTGTTTTGATGTTTAATGTAAATATACATTGTAGGTCAAAGATGGAGCACAGCTAGTGCTTATCTTCGCCCAGCCATATCACGCCCAAATTTCTCAGTTGCAGAGAAGACACTTGTAACAAAAATCTTGTTTCAAGGAACAAAATGCATTGGTATTGAGTGTGTGAAAAATGGGCAAAGGAAAAAGGTAAGAGATTTTCAATTTCCAGTATGAAAGGTATAAATCAAAGCTAAATTATACATATTTTTTAAGTCTATTAAAAATGGCACTTTACTGTGCAAAATGTTCTCTTTTTCTAGAGGTTATGTTGTTTCTTACACTATATGATTCCTTGTCAGTTATTTTACAGTAGATGATCCTCCAGTTGTATTGATTTAGAGATTAACTTCATCATCACATTTCCATCTCCAGTGCTGAGGGGACAGGCCATAACTTGATGTTCCACAGAGTGTTGTGTAAGACTGGAGCCTATGGTGCAACCATGTCCTGTCCCAGCACATTGACCAGAGTGCTGCAATGGGGGTGTTTCTGAAAAACAATTCTGGCAGAGGAAAATCTGTAATGCCAGACACTGAAATTTGAATGGCTCAAGGGATAGATGGTTGGCTGTGGAATATTTCGCAGTTTCAGTCCAACTTCCATTGAAAATGTGATTGTGTGGAAGGAAGCTTGAATTGTCATTACAAAACTCTGGATAATTGGTTCATTTTATGCCTCTTTCAATCCATTTACCTCTGTAAGACCCAAACCATCCTCACTTCCTTTGACAGCTGATTATGGATTAGTCTGTAACTAGGATGTTGCCTAAAAGGGGCTTGTATGCTAATAACCTAAGATATTTGGTCACAAAGGATACGAAGATTAATAATAATATCCTAGAGAGAGCTGAGTACACATCTTGGTGGTTTGAGTTCAGTAAGCCTTATAAAACTCAGCAGGCAAGTTCTGTGACTGAGCACCTGCCAGAAGTTAAAATGCAGGGTAAATAATATGTTCTTTGATTTTCTAAAGCACAGATCAAATCTGCTGCTTTCTACGTGGATTGCAAATGATAATCATTTTACCAATATGAAACAAAAGTTGCAGAACCTTTAACTGATTTCATGAGCTATTACACTTCTGTGAAAACAGTACCTCTAATTGCTGTTCTTGTGCCATTATCAAGATCAATTTTGTTGAAGAAAGTCTTGGAATTCAATTACACATGATCAAAGACTTTCTGAATATTGGACCATTTAATTGCTCTGAATTTTCACACATACTAATATATGCATGAATTCTACATAGTGAATAATATATGTTTTTATAATGTATTGTACAAAATACATCCTCAAAGTATTTCCCTTCCTTCTCTCCCCCTCCTCTCCCTCTCCCAGCATCAAAACTGCAGGATTAGTATCTGCTTTTACTTTCTGGAAAATTTTATACATGTCAGGATGGAAGAGCTAATAATTTTATTGCATAATGAACATCAAGATGAAGCAATTGACTACATTAAAGTGTTTTTGTTTTTACGGTCTATTTTAGATATAATCTCTTTTACGTCAGTCATCAGCAAAGTGAAAAGATTAAAACCTGATTCAAAAGTTATTAAAAACATATTCACCGGCCAATAACTTTTTATTTGTCTAACACCGAAGTCCTAGAGATCTCCCAGGACTCCAGTAAGCCCTCTGACAAAAGTAGGAAAGGTAGACTGGAGTTTTTAAGTTCAGAATTCCTGGAGTTTTTAAGTTCAGAATCAAGCAGAAAAGTTTATTTATACTTCATATTTCATATAAAGGACGAAAATGTTTTAATGTATTAGAGACTAACTCAAAAAAAAAGTGTATCAGTCACTTTTCCCACTTAGCATTATGGAAAACTTTGTGTGGGCTAGGAATAACTACAGTGCTGCCTTTGCAGGGGGTTTAGACTGAGCAAGCATTATTTGAGTGCTGCTCTGAACAAACTGGTATCAGTTCTGTCTGTACTATAGAAAATGTAAATAAGTTAAATAAGTTTGTATAACATGCAAAATATAGCTCTAAGTATTGATTCAATTGGCTCTGATATGGTGTTTATTAGTCTTAACATACTAATGATTTCCCAGAGCAAAGCAGTAACAAACAAAAGATAACAGCACTGGCCATCTGTTGACCATATTGGATAAATAGTGTGAAAATGCTTTTTATTATTATTACACTTGAATGTTACTGTAGCAACATTTTGTCATCTTTCTGTATAGCTGAGGTGTCATTCAAAAAGGACACGGTTCCAAGTTAATATAAATTCTATGCTAATCTATTAAAACTCAGGGTCAAAGGCAGAGGAATAATTTAGCAGCCTGTATCATCACCAGCTCAGGGCTCAGACCAAACCATTTGATGAAAAGACTGTCAGCAAAACAAAATTCAAACCATGCCTGCTACTATTTTATCAGCAATGCTTCAGTGAATCGTTGGGGGGCTTTTGAGGACTACCAGGAGCCAAGAAAGCAAACCTTAGCCATAGCTGAATTAAAAAAAAATAAGCTCCTGAGAATTTTTGAGCTACCATGTCTGTGAATTCCAAATCTTCCTTAGGAGTTCCAGTTTTAATTTATAAAGGGTTGCTGAAAATGGCAGAGAAGCTTAGCTGCCTGATCCAAGTGCCACAGGTACTATTCCCCTGGCAAGTAGGATAGGAGCTGGGCTGAATGTTTCTGTGCCATACAGTTTGAATGGATTGTAAAGATGGGAATAAATACAGGAATGATCAAAGCAAAAGCTTGATTACTTCTCTCTGTGGAAAATTCTGACAAGATAGGAATACATTTAAATGAGGAAAATGTGAGGGAAGGATGTCTAATCTGGATCAGAACAGCATATCCAAACAGCAGCCCCTGACGTTGCTTGCATTCATCTCAGGCTTTATAATCTTAGGGATTTTGTGCTCATTTCCTTTTAGGTTTTTGCCAGTAAGGAAGTTATTTTAAGTGGAGGTGCAATAAATTCTCCCCAGCTGCTTATGTTGTCTGGAATTGGAAATGCAGATGATCTAAAAAAACTGGGGATCCCTGTTGTTTGCCATCTTCCCGGTAATCTTTTTTTCTTCTTTCATCTTCCTATGGATGTAACTGAATGACCATTACATTAAATTAATCATGAAATAGTGTTTTCTTTATGTCAATCTGTGTAGACTGAAACACATGTTGAAAACATGTTTGTTACAAATCAGTGGAAAGGTGTGTTGATTTTATACAAATCAGTGGAAACATGCATTGATTTTACAATTAAGCAACAAACTCTTTCTTCACCCCATTTGACAGTGAAAAATGCCTTTCCGAAGGCATATTTTTATAATTAAGCAGCACACTTGTCATTAAGAGCTTTGAATTAGAAGAAATAACATGAACTTTTACTTAAAGCCAAAGAAGCACAGTATTTAGAAGCCATACCTGGCAATTTTAGAACAACTGATATATCTGCTATTTAACTTTCTATTTTCATTCTAGTTATGCTATATTTATGTAAAACCTTATTCTGACATGAGCAAAAGTCTGATGTGACTCATGACCTTGGTCTGTGACACCACTGCCCTTGTAAGAGCTTGGTTCAGTTCCCACTTAAGGTGTTCTCTGCTTGAAACATGGTGGGTAACCTTTCTGTGTGAAATAACAGGTTTTTTCCTTTCACTTTCTTCTCCCTCCCCACTTTCTACCCCCTGCAGGAGTAGGCCAGAACCTACAAGATCATTTAGAAGTGTATGTTCAGCAGAAGTGCACCAAACCTATTACTCTATATCGTGCACAAAAGCCACTGAACATGGTGAGGATTGGTCTCGAATGGCTTTGGAAATTTACAGGTATGAAGCAAAGTATGCAATCATTTTACCACTGACTGATTTAGAATTATGACAGCCTTTTATCCATGATTTTTATAGTCTGGGAGCCTTAATATATAATCTTTTTCACACTCTGTAAAATAACTGGAATTTGCAAATGGATTTGAACTATTTCTTTTCTTCTATACCAGAATATTGTAAAATTTTTATATCTTAGGTATGAAGGAAGTTATTATACACTACTTTTAACATTCCTATATCTCATGCAAAAAAAATTCTACATTTAAAAATCAGTGCTACTAAGAAATGCTATTGCAAAAAAGATGGAGAAAATATTCTATTTTAAATCAATGTGATGTCAGTAAAAATGTATTGTTGAACTGACTTCTTGTATAACTGTCTCAAAATAATTTGTTTGTTGCTCTGATCAGAATCCTTTTCTCTGCAAGTGAATGTGAATTTACTTTCCTTAGAATGACCCATGAATTTTACAGTACCTCAGTCATAAGTTTTACCTTAAAAAGGATCTGTAAATATAATCTTCGATGTCAGTAAAATAGCTTGGCCAAAGATGAGCTCTACATCACTTGCTGAATTATGTTATTATTTGGCAACTTATTCTGGGTACACATGGCTTTTTACCATGCAAGTAAATATTGAGGACCAACTTACAGTTTTAAAGAGAAATGAAAACAACATAAGGCACATTGCAAGGCTTTCATCTTTCATTTCAGGGCAGACACTGGGTGGCTCTGCCTATTCCGTATAACTGGAGTGCACATCACGGAGTGAGCAGTGCAGGAATATCAGGATGTGCAGCCAGTTCCCTCCACACCTGTCAGGATCCAAATCTGCTTATGGAATCAGACCCTTGGCCTGCCAGTTACAGTGAGATAACTGTAACATCCATTCTTAGATCAGTGGGAATTCCAAATTTAAGCATATTTACATTTATCCAGGAATTAAAAAATCAGATGAAAGTGGTACGCAGTGCCTAAACTACAAGCTGTTCATAATGGATTTGGATTCCTTGCAGTTGATGCTGTACAAATCAATTATTCATGGTAGTGCGTCTACAGGTTAAAAACATGTGGACTTGTTGCTCTTTGGAGGTGTTTTAATGGCATCTTCTCCCTCCTTTAAACTCCCTAGGTGAGGGAGGAACTTCCCACCTGGAATCTGGTGGTTTCATCCGGAGTGAACCAGGGGTTCCTCACCCTGACATCCAGTTCCACTTTCTTCCTTCCCAGGTGATTGACCATGGTCGGGTTGCTTCCACAATGGAAGCTTACCAGGTGAGTGGAAGAGAATGTTCCAGTAAGACTTCGTAACCATTAGCAAGGAGGTTTATGCTCCATTATAAATGTTGATAATTTGGCTATATAGTGAAAAATACTTTGTTCAGTATAATATGAAATAGACTGCTTAACCTCCTTAACTGGGGAAAAAACACCTCCTTGTTATTTGATATTGCCACCAAAATATGTTAGTTTTTATCTCTGGGAAAGAAGGCAAGTATTGAATTAAGTATTCACTCTACTGAAGTGTCCTAGTGCTGTGGGTTAGGACACAATTTTGCAATAGAACAAAACTGTTCCACTGCAGTTTAGACAATGGTTTAAGTGAAAATAGATAGAAATACTCATTTATTCACTGGCACAAATCCAAGCCCCTTGTAAACTAGCATCTTGATCCAGAACTCTGAACGTTAATTCTGGGGAACTGTCACTGAGTATACATGCTTATCCTTGCTAGTCTTTTTCCTTCAGAGACAATAATTTGGTCCAGTTGCTAATTGTATTAGAGTGCTCTGATATTGCTAAATTGGAATGGTTGTATTTTAAAAGAAAAGACCAGCTGTGAATTGACAAGCATATGGGCTCCTTGCAATGGAGTTACATATTTACAAAAGAAATTATATAAAATGAAAAAATGTTCAATCGTATTTTCCACTATCTTTGGTTAATGTTTATATTGCTGAGTTTGTAGTCTGTCTAAATTGCAAAAAAAAAAAAAAAAAACAAAACAAAACAAATCCAACCAACCAACCAAAAAACCAAAAACTCAAAACAAACAAAGGCAACATCCCCCAAAAATACCCCATGCTGAATTTGGAAGCAGACCTGGTGGGATTGTGTGATGAGTACAGTGTAGGTGTTGCAGGTCCACGTGGGACCCATGAGGAGCACAAGTGTGGGCTGGCTGAAGCTGAAGAGTTCAGACCCAAACGACCACCCCATCATTGAGCCCAACTACCTCTCAAGAGGTAATTGTCGCCTCTCCTTGCTCTTTCAGCTTATTTTTCACTTGTTTCAGTAGCTTATTTTTGTATCTACTCAACACCAGTTCAGAAGTGCTGGTTGGTGCATTGTTACTTAGTTCTCATTTATTAAAAGTCAACTAGTATGGAAAGAGGTGATTGTGCAATGCACTGTGTAAGCTAGAAAGAATTCTCTGTTGAGGGGAGGTCAGAATTCTTAGTATCTGCTGTGTCTTGCTGTGCATTTCATCACCACCTCTGCTTGTGAAGGAATAATTTCTTTTGCTTCTTTGTGTTGAGACTATTTTCCTTTTCCTAGACAGTGGGTAAAGCAAGATAAAGTGCAGCTCGTCATAGTTCACATCTTTCCTTTTGGGCTCATGCAATATAAGCAACAGTTTTGTTCACACTGGATGAAAATATCTGTGACTTCAAAAAATATTCTTCTTTATCATGGCTTTCAGCAAGAAGTGAGAGACTTTTTCCACAATGCTGCTTTTTTCTGTTCTTCATTCTGTATATACTGGTAAATTAAATATGTACTTACTTATTTTCTCTCCATACAGAAAGAGATATTTGGGAATTCCGCCAGTGTGTCAAGTTGTCCAGAGAGATCTTTGCTCAGAAAGCTTTTGAAAAATTTCGCGGTCCTGAAATTCAACCAGGAAATCATGTTCAGTCTGACAAAGAAATAGATGCTTTCATAAGGCAGAAGGCTGATAGTGCTTATCATCCTTCCTGCACCTGTAAAATGGGTCAGCCTTCAGACAGCACTGCTGTAGTGGATCCCCAAACAAAAGTAATTGGTGTTGAAAACTTGAGAGTAGTTGATGCTTCAATAATGCCCAGCGTTATCACTGGAAACCTGAATGCCCCAACTATCATGATAGCAGAGAAAGCTGCAGATATAATTAAGGGCCTCCCATCACTTCAAGAGAAAAATGTTCCTGTATATAAGCCCAAGACCTTGGAAACACAGAGATAAATAAATATTCTCATCCTTTCATATAATTGGCTATTTAGGCTTTCACCCACATGTTGGTATCTCATACTGAATATGCCAATATGATAAATATCATGCAAAATAACATATCCTATTAAAATAACTATTAATGTGAATATATTTTTTTTGTATTAGACTACCTCCTGTTTTTTTTAATCAGCTGGCTTAAGTTTCTTTTTTAAAATCATAGAATATGCTGAGTTTCAAGGGACCAATCAGGATCATTGAGTCCAACTCCTGGCCCTGTGCAGAACACTCCAAGAATCACAAATTTAGTTGAATATGACCTTTTGTAGTAAATTCAAATTTTCTATTGAAGAGAAGCTGTTTCTAGATGACAAGATGGCTGTATACATCAGCCAGAAATACCATGTGATTGCAAGAGGAATGGAAAAGATTAATGTGAGCTATTTCAAAAACAGTTATGTTATTTGAAGAATTTTAACTGCTATGAGAATGTTTCCCAGGAAAACAGCTAGTCAGTAATGACCACATCCTGCAAAGAATGGTCAAGCAAATGTAAACACTTATGCAATTTCAAATTCCAGAGTTGAATTCGTTTGTATCAGAATTCATAGGAAAGGGAGGAACTGCATGTGTCAGTTTGTCAAACATGGTTTTTGTGAAAGGAATGCACGGTTTACAAATCCCACTCAAAATTAGATTTCACTAAGCTCAGTCTCTAACTGTAGAGCATTCAGAGAGAAGACATACAGTGTGTTTATTGGAACTTATTTTTCTAAAAATGCAGAACTGGAGTTGAAATTTATAAAGATCTACTGGAAAATGGATATTTCTTTTGTTTTGCTTTTGTTTTGGTTTGTATTTTGTTTTATGTAGCGCTTAGTAGAATTCTGGTAACAATTTAAGCTGATGTAGTTTTACCACTCTCGCAGTGAGAGATCTGCACTTTGTATAACACCTTAAAGTGATTGGTCTTTACTCAGATGATTGTTTGCAAAAGATATTAATCAGTAAATATGAATAAATAATAGTGCCTATCACTCAAATTTCATTTAGAATAATTACAACCAAACTATATTTAAAATAAAATATTACTCAAAATAATTGTATAAGGTCAGATATTGATGATATGGGAAGAGGTCTTTTTAAATTAGAAGGCAAATATCTTACTCAGTGAACCAATGCTATATTCTAGTTAGGACTTAAATATTTGCTTTTTTAGTTTTCAGATGTGTAAGTTAAGATACTTGAGCTATCATGGTTGTTTTTGGTGTCAAACTAACTTTCAGGTACTGAATAAAAAAAACCTAAAGAAACTGAACTCACTGAAAGAAAATTATTCCATGGATTATTTTGTATTTATTAAGTATTCCAAAGTAACTTCTGACTAAGCAGATGTCCAATCATAAAGTAATATTTTCTGTAGCCTGAGATTGCTCAGGACTTGTGGCAAAGAGAATAAATATTTTTTCAGAAAAAAAAATGGAATTTTACACCATTTTTACAGTCTGTAGAAAACCTTGCTGACTCAGATGTTGGCTGGAGGGACAACTGCAGATGTTTAAGGCAGATACGTGTACCTGGTGCTGCTCTCTGTAAGGCACTGACTGGAAGCTCTGCTGAAGGAAAGGATTTCATTCCTTAGAGCATCTGCCAAAACACAAACAAAACCACTGAGGATGGAAGATGATAGCAATGAACTCTGCTCCTAAGGGAGACAGGTAAACTCTTTCTATGTATGTGATGCAGTCTTTTGAAATGAGGGGAAGAACAAGAATATTTCACGTCATAGGTGATTGATTAGCTGAGCTGAGACAATTCCTCTGGTGCAACTGTTTGAGAAAAGCATGGACTGTGTATTGTGTACCTCCTAATGGCAAATAATTCTTTCTCAGCACTTATGCTCGTGAGATTTTTCTTTAAGGGTATTCAGTAAGTTCTAGTGTCATTTGGAATACAATAAGGATATTTTAAGTTATATACACATATATATGAGACTTACCACAGTCCTGTGCAGTTGAGAAGGGAGGCAGTTTGGCAAGATGAGACTCTGAAGTTCCTGCATTTGCAGATTTACAACGTGGATTTCCTCTCCAGGCATGCAAGATGGGAATTGATAGGATTCTGAGGGTGCCAATTACCACATAGTTATGCATATATTGGTTACTAGTTACCACACATTTCTGTAGTAAAACCAAAAAAATATTCTTTGAATCTTATACAAATGTTCTGCCCTAAGCCAATAACTACATGAAATATGATCTGCAACTAAATTTCTTTCATTGTTTATTTTTGCAAACAGTTCTCTCACAAAATTTCTTACCTTGAAGAGTCTCTCATCACACTATTAAAGGCTGAGGACAAAGAGCAGGAGAACGCAGTGAGGTCAGCATATTGTTTTCTGTCTCTTTGGAGAAATCACTAATTAAAAATCCTGTCACTCTGCTCAACCTGCTGAACCCGACATGCTATCCAATGTTCATGCCGGACAAAATACAATTCTGAGATTGTTTTCCTCGTTTTTTTTTTTAAAGTTCAATTTCAGTTGCCTTGAAGGTGGTTATCAGAAGTGGGTTTACCACAGTAGGTAGAACTTTGAAATCTACTCATTGTTACTTCACAGGGATAGCTCCATTTTTGCCTCCCAGATTTTATTTCTGTGAGCTGGGAAAGTGTAACAAAGTGAGTATTGCTGAGCAACATACCCAAGAGATTCCCAAGACAACATGGAAAATTTATTTAGATGTTTCAGGGTATTTTAGTCAGATTTTCCTAATCATTTCCATAGGTCTGTCTCTAGGAAAGTAGTAATCCCTTTTGCACATGAATACTCTGATTGTTTTATTTCCTTGTAGTTAACAGCGACCATTCATAAAAGACTTGCATGATGTGACACTGCAGACTGATACCCTATTCCACCTATTCCCTCTTGTTCTTATAATATTGCAAATTGAATTTAACCTTTGGAACTTCTTGGTGAAAAAATATTAGTAAAAGGACTCCCAGGTATAATAAAATTATTACACAGTTTTATTTTGAAGAACATTTTGCATTTGTTTTAATACAAAATGATGTAGGTCAAGAAATAATTTACAAACCTTTAAGTTCTTATCCTGGCATTTGAAATAAGAACAATTTCAGAGGAAGTCTGTAAGCTATTCATAGGAAACTGTCGTTATGTACAAAATGTTTATTGACATGTTTTAAACATCACATTTGTAAAAATGTGAACTGGATTGCTATCTAGCATAGGAACTACAGGTAAAACCTGATAAGATAACTTGTTAGAACAAGTCTTTGTTATCCAGTGCTAACAAAATAGACAGTAGCTTTCAGGGTGTTTTAATTATCCTCCAAGGTCATTTCAGCCTCAAAGACATTTCAGGGTTTTACTGCATTGTGAACAATATCAAAGCCCTCTCTTGATTGCATAAAAATAAATCTTTGAAATAGTACACATAGAACAACAGAAAGGTAGAGGCAATAAAATAATATAATTTTTATATCAAGGTTTTTGGTTCTGTGTAGAATCATACTATCACATTTCTTCTGTTTCCAAGCAGAGAAAGTAGTACTGAAGTAAAGCATTTTAATTTACCTGTGAAGTATTTTCTGCTTCAGATACTTTCTCTGTCAGTTTAGGGTAGGTAGGTATTAAACTTCATCAAAACCAATTCTCTCATGACCAGGAACACCCTGGCATGAATTGCCAAGGTTTTTGAGTTTTGGAGGTTTTTGCATGGGGTTATTACAAAAATAAAATTAGAGCTTACTTTTCAGTCAAAACAAAAAAAAAGGAAAATAATTTAAATTTTTAACCTTTCCAAGTGTAAGACTGAATAGTCAATGGTGCATCCCTTTTGCAGAGAGATTCTTTTGACTCAATTATTTAAAAAAAAATCTGATCTGTTGCCAAGTTCACACTTGACACTTTATCCCAAAAAGAGATTTACACTGAGAGGTGGCTCTATTTAAATATTTATGCTATAGATCTATATATTCCAAGTAAAAATACTTCTATCTAGAATTCTGTGGAGAGTTACAATAATTAGGGTCCATAAATATTGCTGCGGTTCAATTACGGTACAATAATTACAAAATATAGAACATCTCTTTACAAATACAAATCATTGTATATTACAATTAATTTACAATATTTTCTACTATATAATTTTTAGCAAACTATCTTATCTAATTCTACTATAACCTGGTTGCAAGTGCATTAGTAAGAATGCAATTATTCCAGTATATTTTGCCCTTAACATGATAGTCATAAAACAGACCATCTGAATGATATTTTCCTATGTAAACTGATGTTACATATGACGAATTATTCTTTATATAACTTCTTTTTCCAACGATCTCTAACAGGTAGAGCATGACAAATCCTATTTTAAAAGAGCATTAAGAAAAGAAATCAGGAGGCAAGTTTGAAAACAATGTTAGAATGGATATGCAATGGGTAGCTGATATGCTTTGAGCACTGAGGTAATGACATTATTGGTTGTCATCACTCATCTCATGTTGCTGTTTCCCACACAATCCTGTGCCAGACCTATAGAGACATTATCACCGACAAAATCCTGCTCTAGTAGGAAGGACAGCAGCACAAGGTTGAAAGACAGGCAAGATATTACACCTCAGAATCTTGCTCTAGCCCTCAAAATACTGATTGTCACAATCTGCTTGGTTTCAAAAGAACCTCATTCCTACAGAGGAACTGAAGATTCCATGGGAGGAGACTTGACCTGCTGCAGCTCTGTTCACATTTCGGCAACCTGGAGATAATAAATTTATTAGTTATGGCTTCCATGAGGTGCAACATCACTCGTACAAAACTTGGATTGGTTATTCACTCCAGCTAGTGCCTAGCATCTTGAAACTATGAGGCACTTTTTCTGTTATTAGAACATTTTCCTTGCTAAATACTATAAGCTTGTAATGCATATCATTTCATCAGCTAAGTCTTCTTCGTATCGTCCCGTTTCTGGCTCTTCGTCACTGTAGCCAGGACCAAAATCTTGAAGTTCGTAATCTTGTCTGCTTAAAATCGGAAACATATCCCCGTTGGTCCCATTGCTGATATTCCCATTGAGAAGGTTACTTGCTGCACTCTCCATCTCATCAATAGTCATGTCACATGCATCAGCAATCTCGTGTTTTGTAGCCGAAACAAATTTAGGGTCCTTTGCATACCTTCCTAGGCCTTCAGATATAAGTACCTGGCAGAGGGAGGGGAGAGAGTGAGAATTTCAGTGGAATTACAGAACAAACAGATCATAGCATTGCTCATTGATGAAAGCACTAGAAACCCCATGCTGAATCACTGGAGTACAACCCACAGCCAAACTGTACAGGCAAATAATAATTAAATCAACAATGAAAAGTCTCCAAAGAACACCATGATGCGCGATAATGTAAGTGATGCTGCTGTACATCTGGCATTTCTCCTTAGAGATCTGGCAGTAGTCTTTGCTGAGCATCAATCATCAGACTGATACACTAAAGACAACCATCTCAGATGGTGCAATTAGAACAATTGTCTGAAATACAGAATTTTATATGTTCTCAGTACTTTAGAGTACATGGAAAAAAGATGTTGAATTCCCATTCACAAAAGCATAACAAAATGTATTGTATAGCTCACAGCAATGGGAAGGAAGTGATGGATGGAAGCTACAACATTATCATTGATTAAGAAATGCTGTACACACTTTATCTTCAAATCTTTTTTAATATAAAAGGGAATTCTTATCATTCTTTAGTACACCTACAAATCAATCCTTGCAGTTGTTATTCTCCTCTCTGCATTTAATACACTGATTCACAGAGTTTTTGGTTTTTTTAATTAAAATTACTGCAAAACTGGGGATTTATTTCAATAGAAATAACAGAGAGAACAGGCATATACATCATCTCTTCCTTATTGCCATTTTGGAAGGATACTTCAGAACTGATGCTCATCTAAAAATTTAAATTTCAAAACTTTAAAATATCTTTAGTTCTCTCATTAATCTCTCATTAATATGAAGATCTGGATTCAGAAGAAATCCTTTACTACATGACAGTTATGAATAAATTCCCCTCTTTACCTAAAACCAGTCTGTGGCTATAAAACTAAAAATCCATTTTCAGAGAGCTGATGTGAACTTGATGCCTTGTGAAGGCTGACAGAACAGACACTAGACAAGCTAAAGAATAAAGTAGGGATTTATGAGAAGGCTGCAATGGATACACCTTGGGCAGTACAAGAGCCCAGCCAGAGCTACACCCAAGATGAACCAAAATGCACAACTGGTCATGGGGTCTCACATATTAGAG